AGAATGGGGGCAGCTTTAGCGCTCGTTTGGCCCTTTAAACTTTTCAATTTAATTTAATTTAATTTCATTTGTTCTCTCTCTTATTTTTAATCACACGATATTCAATAAAATAATATTACACTCAAATCAAAAAAATTTCAACCACAAAATTTTAAGGGCCTATTTGGGAGCGATTTTTTCAACAAAAAAATTGATTTTTTATCGTTATTTCACTATTCCAACCGTCATATTTGACTTCTTCTCTCACTGGTGAATCCCACTTTTCTCCTAACGATCAAGAAATTAATTCTCAAAATCACTCTCAAACAGGTTCTAAAAGGAAAATATTATTTCCCTCATTATAAATTCAAATAATGGGGGCAAGACGGGTACTTACCTTTCACAAAATGTCAATGACTTTCATTTTTAAACATTTTCAACCCCATCGAAAAATGTCATTTTCCTCTAATTTCGCAATAAAAAAATTATAAAATGATAAATATAGCCACCAATTTAAATAAAACGAAAAAAATGAAGAAGAAAAATTAAAGAACAAATTATAATTATATTTCCAAACTTTTTTAAAAATTGCAAATTAGTCTAAATAAATCGGTAAAAGGGTAATTTGCACAAAACGTCCATACATTTTAATATTATTGTATAAAATGTCCCCACCTTTTATTTTGATTGAATTTTCACATTTCATTGCTAAAATCATCATTTTCATCCATTTTTTCAATTAAAAAATTGAAAAATGACGAACATACCCTTATTTAAATAAAAAAAATAAAGAGGAGAAAAATAAAGAACAAATTGCAACTATACTCTTAAATTTTTAAAAAAAGTACAAATAAATAATTAAAAAGGAAAAACTTTTTATTGAGAAAATGGATGAAAATGATGATTTCGATTATTTTACAATTTTTAACTGAGAAAATATATTGTGAAAATAAGGATGAAAATGTTAAAAAATGAAAGGTATGGATGTTAGCACAATAATATTGAAAGGTAAGGATGTTTTGAACTAGTCACACTTTTAATAATTTATTTATACTCATTTGTAATTTTTCAAAATGTTGGGGAGTATAATTGCAATTTCTAAAAAAATTTCTTTTTTTTTTCTTATTTTGTTTAAATAGAAGGTATATTTGTCATTTTACATTTTTTTTTTAATAAATTAGATGAAAATGATATTTTTCGCAATAAAATATAAAAATAAGAGTGAAAATGCCTGTAAAAACGTTTGCACAATAAAATATAGTCATAAACCAATTATTAACTTAAAAACACTATTATTATATCGTATATCATTCACCAGTTCATTCAATGAACAAGAACAAATACTCTTCTATAAGCTACAGAGAAAAAAAATGAAATTTATTTAGCGATTCAGTAATTTTAAGTCATGAAGCAGCAGCGGAAACTTGCCTTGGCGTCATTCAAAATCGATATTTCTCTATTGAATGCTGGAGTAGAATGATAAGAAAGGTTTTTCTCAATTGCTAGGTTTTGAATTGTTTGGCTAACTCTCTGTTTATTAACTTATAAGTAAAAAAGAAAATTTTTAATTCATTGTCCTGAATAAAATTACTTATTTTCACTATAAATAAATAAAGAGTTATTTCAAAATATATCAAATTTTAATTTTAATTCTTGTAACCATGTAATTTGTTTAATTTAAAGTAAGCTCCTCTTGGGCTCTATTTTTATAAAAATACATTTTTTTTGTCAACCAAATATTTTTCAATAAAGAATGTAAATTCATAACTTTCATTATTTTTAAATCACACATTCTCAAAAAAAAAAAAAAATCATTATTTCAAAACACCTTTTTTTTTTTTGCAAAATTTAATTTTAATGGAGCCTAAACAGGGGCTAAGATAAGCTGACCCTATCGAAACAAAGCAAAAACATTTATTTTTGATATATCACTTTGGTACAGTTAAAAAGTCACTTTTAGCTTTTCATAACTTTTAAGTTGTGCCATACATAACATGTTTGTTGGTAGGCGATGCTTTTATTATTACAATAATTTCTGATGTACTCGTGGGGCAATTTTTAAAATGGCTGGATGATTGATCCAATTTTCCACAATGGCCTTTTTTATAAGAAATATTATTTTACCCTTACTATAATTATTTGCAAGATATATCTTATATCTTTAAGGATTTATTAATCAGAACCTATATCTATATTTTTCAATCTTTCAAACACCTTTAAATATTTTTTATATTTTAGTAGTTCTTCAAAGATCCTAGGCTGACCTTTCTTGGTTATATATCCTCGAACTAATCCTTCTGAAATTTCTTCTTGTATATATCTATGTTTAGTTATAATATCCTCTATCTTTCTTATCTCTTTACTAGTTCCTATAGAATCAAATCTGATATTATTTTTACAATTATAATCTATATCTCTATATATTTCTTCAATTTTTTCTTTGCCAACAGGAAATATATTTTCAGACTTTTCAACTAATTTAAATAAAAATGAAACATCTTTTTCATCTAAAAATAATATGAGATTATTATCATTATTAGAAATAGATGTGGATGCTTGTGAATTGTTCATCAGAATAATTAAAGCATAAGCATGTAAGAATAAGTAAATAACTTACAGTAATCAAGTGGAATAAACAGGTTTTCCCTCCAGTATGCTCTTATAGATGCTTTACATGTACTTAATCAATCTTCTGAATCAAGTAAATGTTTAAAATGTTTTTGAAACCATTTGGGTCCACAACTGCTTCCGCAAAAGGTTTTTCAATTAAGGGTGCATTTCTCACTCTAGAGAACTAACCGTGTTTCCACAAACGCTATCTCACAGTATTCAGAGTCTCTGTTTTCACCTCTATCCAAACTTTTTTCAGAATCAAGTTCCTACTTGGAACGAAAT